TTCTTAAGTATGACTTAGTAGAAGATTGAACTCTTTAAAGAATTTAGGCATCAAAAGTGTACTGTGGTTTTGTGGTTTGGATTTTTTGTTAGCTGTTGTGTAGCTAAATGCCTTTTAAAAACTTGTAGATAAGTGCTCTTTTTAGTTCAAAATTTGTTCTAATTGCAGATGATTTTTATGAGGGGAACCTTGTAGCACATTAAAAGGAACAAGGATGAGAGATCCTAAGTCAGATGTCAGAGGAGAACGTTTTGTGAGAGAAAAGGCTTCTTTCTTCCTGCATCAGGTTTTAGTGTGCTGGAGAATAAGAGAGCAGTGAGATTACTTCTGTGACTAAAATTGCACATTTAACTGTTTACAAGGTTGAATGTGGCAGCTGAATCAATTTTTCCAGTTTTTTGTAGTGTTAAAGGATTTCTGTAATACCACCCAACCTCTGGAAGCTGAAACAAAACTACTGATTTCGTCAGCAACCAGAAATAAAACTATTGATTTAGCAGCAAACTAGTAATTTAATCCGAAACAACCACCTGATGTACTTATCCTGAAGATTTTCATCCCACACTCAGACATCTGCCAAAGTCTTGTACAGTTCATTGTTATAATGCTGGATACATCTGCATTGTCCTTACTGCTGCTGTAGTTAATCCTTACCGTATTTCATGTGTGCAGACATTAAATGACATTTTAGTCTTCTCAGATTCCTTTCAGTTGTTCATAGCCACAAATTCTTCTGAAGCTACAAATAGTTTCAGAAGTAAACTATGTTAATAACTTCATTATTTAGCACACCTCTTCATTGTTATTTAAATAACTTCAGCATGAAGGTTGCAATTACCAGCCTGCTATATGCAAGTTCTTTGCAGAGTCATAGTACACTGTGTGGTAACTCTTGCTGCAATTGTCTTTTTCTTAGATGAAGAATATCATGCGAGTGCTAGAACAGCATGAAATTCAGCCATATGAAGTTGCACTCATCCACTGGGAGAATGAAGAAATGAACTACAGAATAGGGGAGTAAGTATCTTAAGGCACTCGGTATATAAAAGTTAATAGGCACTTTAACCAAATTCAAGGAAAAGCTAGTAAAAATATACTTGTCGTTACACTTTTTTCGAACGAGTAAAATAAGGAAAGAAGAAAACAGTAAATCTAAATTGACAAATTTTGCTGTACTGTTAAACTTGCAAGTAGTGGCCTTTGTGATTTGCTTATGCTATAGATTTTATAAATTAAGAAGCTCTGTGCCCACATAACTGAACATGTTCTTCAGCAATCCTGAACAGGAATTAGGTACCTCATGGGAAAAGAAACTAATAAGCATTATTGAGACAAGTCTGATTTTAAAGAGGATGCTCTGTATAAGCTTTCCTTATTGCCCTTGAGGTTCATATACAAGGATGTAATTCTGCACATACTTTACTTCCTAGGAAAGTTACAACTTGAATATTGTGTAATGATAAACCTGGCAAGTTGTCATTTCTCGTTAAATGTTTTTTTCATCCCAGGGAGAAAATTATCTCTACAGAAATATTTCTCAATGAAAATGATTATATAAATTATCTGTAATTTTCCAACACTGATGCCACCAGAAAGCCACTCCTAGACAGGACACCGTTAACACTAGGGACTGAACTAATGAGGTTGAGCTTATTTAAGGTAACCTGATAAGGAGACAAGTGTTTGGGTTTTTTCTGGCCATTTGAAAACTGCATGTACTATCTGGTTATGTAGTTTGTGATTCTGGACATATTCCATTGTGCTTATGCAAGTTTCATAGTGGGATTGACATGAAAAATTGAACGAGTCTTATTCCTCCTTTTCTTTGTCACTTGCCCCTTATGCAATAGAGGTTTCAGGGAAAGTAACGCCATAGTGGGGATGGAGTGAGGTTGGTAAGAGTGACAGGAGAAAAGAAAAACAAACAGAAAGGTAACAGAGGAACTAGAGAGCAGGAGAGAGGCCAGCATCCTGCTTACTCTGAATTTTCTGTGTGTTTGTAGTAATGCTGTAGTTACCATCACAGCTTGTTGTGCTTTCATTTAGACCTAGAAAATTTGGTCATAATATTAGTCTTAGACTGAGGAACTAATTTTCAGTGATTTGTTTTGGTTATTGTCAGAATGAATGTGAGGGAAATGCAAAGATGGGGATGATAGCCATACAGATACCGTGTGCTTTATATAAATAAACAACCAAACCTCTCTTGCATTCTTGATTATTCTTTAAATGTTCCTTTGCTGGTGGCTTAGTCAATGAAGATGCTTCAATCTTGTTTTAACAGAGGTCAGTCAAAGCTCCATAAAGGACAAATCCTTTTAAATTCTGAGCTGGATAGTGATGAAGTTGTTCTGCAGAAATTTGCCTTTTCAAATGCTCTTTGTCTTTCTGGTAAGTTAATATTGTTCATACTATCAGCCTATGCTACACATTTTGTGAAATGTCATTATAGGTCATTGTACAGCAACAGGTTGGAGACGACTTGGTGCCTGGTTTAGGCAAGCTGTGTAAAGAGTGATTGTTCTTCAGTGAGAGGATGTTTTTAATGTACTTACCGTGTTTTCTAAAAATTGGAATTGCCTTATTCAATATAACTCGTTTAAAAGATGAACAAAGCACATTAATAAACATGCTTTGCAAAAGATGCACATTATTCTGAGCATCCTGTTCCCCACCCTTGAGAAGTATCCCTGAATAACAATGAGTATAGAGGCCATTATTAGAAACCTCTCAGTAATATTGCATAATTCATCCTGCCATCATTTCCTCTGACAGAAAAAGCTAGATGCCAGCTAAAGAAGTGATGTGGAGCAGCGATTCCCAGTTGGGGAGGTGTACCAGTAACAGATGTGTGGACCAGAGTCACAGAAAATATTTTCCAGGCTTATTAGCCATGGTAGGAGAGAGTGGGAGGCACTGCAAAGAAGTTAGACTCATCAGTGGTGCTGCTGCTTATGGAAATAACACCTCTCTTTTGCTTCAGACCTTGAATGATGAAGTGGGAGTAGAAGCTAGCAGCAGTAAGGCTGTCCTTGGAAAGGCCTTCAAAGATAGTCTGGTCTGTCTACCCCTATTGCCTGTAGGGTAAATTATAGGATTCCAGTAATATTTAGGGAAGTGCCCCTTTACACAGGAGAGACATCAAGAAACAGAAGGCATGTTTTTGAGGTGCTACAGCATTTGATCAAGGAGTACAGTGTAACTAAATGGTTTTTGACTGTCGAAGGAAGAGCTGTTGAGAAAAAACGCCTATTGTTCTCTGTAGTTTTCCTATTCATAAAGCCACTGTATGGGAGAATAGTGCCACATAAAAGGAAACAAGGGATTTATTCCCAGGAGATAATTGGTACCAGTTTATGTTAGTGTGAGACATGCACATCATAAAGAAAAACAGTTCAATAAAAATGTTCAGTAAAAATAAAGGATGCAAGTATAGCCCCAAGTCAAATGTACGACACAGCAGAAACCAACCTCTGTCAAATAACAGGTGATAGCTGAAATGCTTACTGTCTTTTTTTTTCAGAGGCTAAATTAAAAGTTTTTTAAGTCAATGACTTGGAGTAGGCCTCTGTATTCAAAAGATGAATGTGCAAATGCTAAGCACTGGATTTACTGTCAGTGTCCTAAACAGATGATACTATCAATTACTACCACAAAAGAGTTCATTTTGACAATTAAACCTTCCATAATTCTTTTTTTTCTGATCGAATAGGGTTGATTTTTAATCTGTTGCTACTTCATTCTTGTCTGGGAATCTGTGGATTAAAGAACAAAGCCTGAGTTATATCATTATCTTGTAGAAACATCTTTCCAGGTTCAAACTGAGGCATAGTAGAATTTGTGTTGCCATTGCCTGTGCTGAACTCAGGTTTCCATAGAAGAGAAGTTACATCTCCAGTAAACAGTACACTCACCTAAAAAGAAAATGGGAGATCGCTTAAGTTTGAATTTAGCTTTAACAAGTACAGGTGGTGTGTCTATACAAGCTAACTCTCCATGGTAGGAGCACACTGGATCAATACTAGACAAATGGAAAATGAGAGCTGAAATGAGACACTAGAAATGCAGTGGAGGCTCTTGAATGAGTCACACATGAAGTCAGCCTCACCCAGGCACTGCTTATGTCTCCAGCTTCCTTGGAATGTAGTTTGCAAAGGCTTCTCACCTGCAGGAGAACACCAAGACGCACAGCTTTAGAGCTGAAGCAAAATTCATCAAGATCTTAATGGCTCATTTGGAGAAGAAAGCTGTGCTCAAGATGAAGGTGGTTCTGCGTGCAGAGCTGTCAGTGCCCAGCCCAGATTTATGTATTGGTATATGAACACTGACTGTATAATACAAACGGTAACTTGCTGCAAATAATTTTGTAAGCATCGACGTGTCCTGAAGCAGCCTGTTGGCAGATTTAAAGTTACGATTACTTGAAAACATATGTACCTCTCACAGTCTTCTGCTTTGTCACCTCTGTGTTGCAGTAAAGCTGGCTATTTGGGAATCGTTATTGGATAACTTTGTGGAATCTATCCAGTCAATTCCTGAGGTGAGGCCTTGTTCGTAACTCTCCCCTCCTTTTCTCATGTGCTTTGTAAAAGATCAGTCCAGATACAGCTGAGGATATGGAAAAAGCAGTTGAACGCTTTACACATTTGGCGGTAAAGCCATCAATGTGGAGAAGCTCAGAACACCTGCAAAGTGGTGGCACAAGAAATCATCATTTAAAGGGTTGGGAGTGAGGTTCTGCATTGTAATGATGTTTCCCATGTTGTGTCACTGTCACCTTCCACTGGTGAATGTGTACGTGTAACAGGACATTTAAACAGGGCGTGTAACAGCATTTAAAAAACCTGGCCAAACAGTGTGTGGAAATTTAAGCTGAAAATAAGGTGCTTTAACTTGAATATAATTAAAAGTTTAAGTGAATTACTGAAACTACAGTTTTTCATGAAACTTAAAAGTACAAAGCCCATATGATGTCACATATAAAAATGAGATTCATAGGGTTCAAAAGAGAAAATATTGGGTTTATTATTTTTATATGAAGGAAATAAATGGTAATATGTTGATAGTTGTAAGGAAAATGTCTACAGAAAGGTTAACTAGTGACAAAGTAAAAGAACACTGTCATGACTTTAACAATAGTAGGAAGAAAACCAAATGATCTCTTGTTCAGAAATCATTCATAGAAAATGCTTCAGGATTTTGTATAGATACTGATAACATACTCAGTGACTTATTGAAAAACCTGGATGAACAGTTGCATGGTGATATTCTTAGAAAGCTAGATAACCAAGGCACTAAGAAAACAAAACTAAAATGTTAATAAGGACAGTATGCATTCAGATTTTAACCCATGTTCCTACTTCAGGCTGTAAAATTCTGGGCTTCTTAACTGCTAGTACATGTTACTTGATCAAGCAGTGAAGAACTTCTTACTTTGCAGATTCTTAAGTCACGAAGGAAGGTAAAACTCTCTCATGCAGATGTGATGCAGAAAATTGGAGAACTCTTTGCACTAAGGTAACTTTTTTGATTACACCCAAGACGTATTACACGGAACTTAAAATCTATGTTGTGCGTGATACCAGACTACACACTAAATAGAGCAGGATGGGGCAGCGGGTGGGGGAATTCCTTCAAACTTCTCTTGGCTGGAGACTGTGCTGTTTATGTTAGTCAGAAGACCAACTGGCTCACCACTCACATTACGGCATTTCAACTATAGACAGGCATTAGGCAGTATATCGTAAATGACCAAATTCCAGACCCTTTTCCCTCCCTAGGTCCAGCAATGCATGTCTCTTAACTGGTAATTACTGTAGATACTAGAGCATGTGAAGGATACCGGGGGAAATACAGGTAGGTAGATCTTCTGTGAATTCTGGTCTTCCCTTGACTTACTCAGAAACCACTGCTAAAATGTACAGATTTAATAGTTTTTCCTCCCTCAAGTGAAATTTGGCCATTGACAATACAGAGCATTACATACTCTTAAAAAAAAAGAAAAAAACCCTCAAAGTTAAATTAAAAAGCAATTCCTGTTTTAAACACTGGGGTTTATATCCTAACTTGAAGGACTCTTCAGTAATAAACAGTGATATTCCTAATATCCAAAGGTTTATTTTAGCAGTAGGTTGAAGGCAGGAGATTTTAGCTCTTAGCCTTTATGATGCTGAGACTGTAGCCTGGTTCTGAAGGGTGTGCTGTGCTCACACATCCAGCATGCAGTACCAGTCACATTTAGAAGTTATTTATTTTTATTTCGTGTACTCTTTCAGTGAGCTACTAGCATAGTCAAGGACTTCTTTGCAGGTATCAAAAATTAAGGAAGGTGACAGGTTGAGGATGCAATGTTGCTATAAGGCAGAAGTCATTTATGTTCAAAACTGTTTCACAGTACAGTATCGCCAGAAAAGTTTCAGATGTGACCAATTTTAAACAATCACTGCAATTGTATTTTTACTCTGAAAGAAGATTCTTTTCATATTTTACTCAAAATTACAGGACATTTTTTCTGTTTCTTTTGACTGCTATGTAAATATTTGCTCCTATATTCACCAAAAGGAAGCCTGAACCACACTAGTACCCATTCTTTTTAGACACCGTATAAATCTGAGCTCAGACCTGCTAATAACACCTGACTTCTACTGGGATAGAGAAAAACTGGAAGAGCTTTACGACAGGACGTGCCAGTTTCTCAACATTAATCGCAGAGTTAAGGTAGGTGTCTTACTGTTACGAGAACTTTCCATGCTCAGATCAGTCATCTTTGGCTCAGCAGGGCCACAGACTGCTCCCTGAATGTCTCTATTAATTGGAGAAACTGAATAAATAATAGGATGCTATACGCTGTCCCCTTTTCCATGTGTTCATAGCCCATTTGCACCTTTACCCAGTTTAGGCTAACTTGCCACACATGAATGGATTGTGTATTTCCTGAGCCACTAAATTAGGATTTAAGGAGTTACAAGAAGAGATTAAAGTCTTCTTCTGAAATGTGTGCAAGAAAACAGGTTAAATAATAATGAGATGCGAAGCATTCTTCTTACTGACATGGTCTTTCAGGTCAGTTCTTGAAGGGCAACATAATGCTTACTGCTGAACCAGAATAAGAAGCACAAAAACTACCACTTCTGGTGGTACAGCAGCCTTAAGTATTTACTTTGGAGGTATTCCAAAAAGCTGCATCATCTTTTGCTTGTGCCTGTTCTCATGAGTAGATATCACCCAGAAGCACTTTAGTACCTGCAAATGCATATCTAGATTTGTATTATTTTTGTGAACCTATTGAAATAACAGGCTCATTTATATTGAAACTTTTATTGCTTGTGCATGTTCCCTTACAGAGCTTTCTGTTTTATTTTGCAGTGGTGTTAACAGCTTTCTAGTTCTGTTCACTGAGCTCTTCTGTGGAGTGTGTTCCCATATTTAGTGATCTCATTCCATTTCTGGAATCCAGATTTGCCACATGTTTGTAATTGCTTGCAGGTAATGAATGAAAAGCTCCAACACTGCATGGAGCTGACAGATCTAATGCGAAATCACCTGAATGAAAAGCACGCTCTGCGCCTTGAGTGGATGATAGTAATACTCATCACCATAGAGGTTAGTAGCGTTTCTTATCACTGTCACACTGAACGTGTAATAACAAGTGCAATTTATATACTTCATAATTCGAGAATTAAGATTATTTTAGTAATGTGATGTACTGTACAAGGGGATCAGTCTTCAGTTCTTTGCAAGTAACTTTTCAAATTGCAGCTACAGTTATTTTTCAGATTATCTGATCTACAGCGTAAACTGGTTTAAGGATTATTCAGTCAAATAAAAATTTGTATCACTGTTTGCTGTTCTCCAGGTTCTGTTTGAACTTGCAAGGGTAGTTTTCTGATGACAGAAGAAACTCAGGAAGAAAACTGACAAAATCATTAAGACCATACAGCCTGGAAAATTCCTATCATATCCTTCTGGAAAAGAGTGAAATCATGTCTCTTGATAAATCTGTAAATCTACTAAAATAAAAACCGAAAAATAATAAATCAGTCTGTGAACATCATTCCCAACTGCTGTACTAGTGACGCTAGAGAGGTCTTAATCTATCAATGTGCTAGTGTAAAGCTGAGATGCATTTTTAGGGGAACTTTTCTAGGGAGTGGACCCAGACACGTGCAGGAGTAATGCAGAGAGAGGTTTAGTTTTGTCTTAATAAGCAAAGACAGAAGGGTGGATCCCTGTATTAATTTGGTGAAGGATTCTACTGCCTTGTCCCCTTGACAACTAAAAAGACACTGAGTGCTACTTTGTGCATTTCTGACAATATTTTCCCTGATTTTCCCCAGCTCCTTCTTGTACAGCCATGACACTGTCCCAAGCTTGGAAATGGCACTACTACTTGTTCTCCTTAAGTTATCTGGCATGATTTTAATATATGTGGCAGGTATATCTAACGTTATGTTCTATCCCATCAGAAAAAGGTGTTTATATACTTGTATGGGATTACATTTCTTTAGTACTACTTCTATTCTTTTTTTTACATTTAGTATTCATATGAAAGGGGAATGGAGTTGATCTTTATCTCAGGTCACAGGAAGCTGTAGCAGAATGATAAACTAAAGTAAGATTCACACAATTTCTCTGTTCACCTTATCATGCTATTTGATTTTTATCAATACAAGTTGCAAGGAGTTAGCATAGGGTAAGATGTCTTAATTATCCTCTAAGGTAAAAGTTTCTTTTTTTATTTTTAATTTATTCCTAGTCTACAGAATATTACCACTTCCTCATGAGAGGATGAAGGGATTTTTTTTTCCCCAGCAACTTCTCTTTCTAAATGTGTTTTCAGGAATTATGACACAACTGCTGTTTTATCACCTTTTTCAAAGTCACTTTAGTCCAGTGTATTGTTTCAGGAACATAACCTAAAAATGTTGTTACAAGCATCTGCAGCATCATGGACAAGCTGCAATGACTGAATTCTGGCTAAAAGTGCAAAATCCATTTGCAGTAGCTTACTGTTCTGTCTTCACCTGAGAGCAGTATTTCTGAGTGTGATACTGGACTCTTGTTGAATATGTCAAACACAGCCACTGGAGAAAAGAGTAAAGTCAGGCAGAGACAGGAAAAACGTCTGACTACAAACCCATCCTTTTGCCATAAATTATGTTACAGTGTCACAGGAGCTGCTTAAGAAGCAGCAACTACTCTTAAGTGAAGGTTTTTCTCCTTGGAACCAGAACAGATCCTGCCTCGAGGTCTTGGTTTTAGAATAGCTCAACTCTGACTTCTCTGAACTGCTGAGAAGGTCTGAAGCATGAAGCCCCGCTCAGGGAAGTGAATCAATCAGTCAGCAGAACAGCTGGGTGACAGTCTTGTAGTACAGTGCAAACAGCTCTGCATCAATAGCCTGACTTACACAGGGTTGTTAAGTAATGGGACATTACATCTTTTATGCAGCAGAAAAACTTATCAAGCACCACTTAATTCCAGTAACAAGAATTGGGTTACATTTTAATTCTAACTTTTCTAGCAAACATTTTTCAGGCTTCCCCCCACCCCATTTGCGTGTAATACTTACATTCAGCATCAGTTCCCATTTCATCTCACAGTTTCAGTATTGCTAAATTGTAAATTTAGCTAAAATGTGAATTTGCAGACCAGCTGCATTTACCAGGAAAAGTGGTTTAACAAAAATATTTGAGGACTCCTGGATGTTCTTTGAAAGCATAGTGTCTAGGCTTGATGATCTGAAGCATTCTGTTTTGGACTGTAAGAGCAACCACCACCTCAAAACAAGGGAAGCGCAGTTACTTTTGAAACTGTAGATCAGTTTATCTTGGCACATAAAATCACAGCCACTAAAGTCACACTCTCTGCTTCCTGCCAAGCCCCCAACCCCACTTATTGAGTGGCTCCTCACAGCTTTTTAAAAAAAGTTCAGTTAAGCTTTAATGTATGTTAAAACTTTGTATCCATTTTTTTCACGGTGTACACACTACATCGCATGACAGGCTTTTGTTTTAGCAACAAACTCCGTAATCTGTTTGAGAATATCTTTACTCTATTACATGTAGAGAAGCAAGCTGGGAAATTGAGTGCACCAAGAACCTAACGAGCTTTCACAGCACGATTACACAGAGAGCAGAGCCCTCTGCAACCATGCAGCACGTGGGAAACTCCCCGCCTACAATCTCTGCTTCACACTGGAGATCCCGTGGGGAGCCTGTGCACGTGTGTATGCATGGCCTGACCAGGAGGAAGTTTTATGGCAGAGGCAGGATGAGTCTTCAGTTCCAGCAGCAACACAAAACTGATTTAGCTGTGAGAACACACTCATCTTTCACCTGCCTCATCTACCACATGCCTTCATAGTGTAATTGATAACAACCATCACTACACAGTTCCTGCTGTTTGAGTCTTCACCAAAATGGGTTTACTCCAACCAGTAAGGATCACCTGGGGGAAAAAAAAAAAGTTACAATAAATACAGAATATACAAGGAAAACCAAAGCGGAATCCTGGTTTATCCAAAACTCTAAAATTTTAACCTTTTTAACAAAATTAAGACTGAATGGCAAAATTCTGCTCATATGGAACATTGTTAGACCATTCTTTTTAAGGAACCAAACTATGCAGACTGCTTCTATCTGTGCTTTTTCTACTAGATAAGGTAAAGGACTACTTACAGATTATTTTCTTTGGCAGATCTGCTAGGAAGTTGTCACAAGAGCAGCTATTTGGCTGAGAGTTGTGACTCCTGAATTCCAGCCCCATTTTTGGGGGGTGACAGCACTAGTGGCTACAGTCAGTCCCTGCTCTCAGCTGCGCTGTTCACATTAGCTCTGCAGGCAGGATAAGCTGGAACATACACACACTCACTTAGAGCTCTGTCACTGAGAGCTGCTTCCTCTCTGGAATACCTCACCCGTCTGGCCTTTAAAAATTCACTCATCACCATTGCAGTTTGAATCAGGTTTTTTCTAAGGAAAACAACACATGCATTTTCATATATTGCTGTAACTTTATAGTCAAGCTCCACTAAAAATGTCACTCCAGCCAAGAGGACATAGTCATGTTTGAACTTTACCAGTGAAAAGTGGGCAAAGCCCGTGTAACAGGCTAATCTGGGACTAAGTCAAAGCCAGAGAGGAGAGGGCTAATCTACACTGCAGAAGCTGTGTCAGTTGGTCTACACTAACAACTCCTGATGGAGATGAGACTCCTAACAAGAAAAAGTACACACAGTTAAACCATTTCCTTAAACAATATAGATTGTACTAACAAAAGGACTGGCCTGTTATTATTTCCCCTGGTCTAAATTGCAGCTACTCAACTAGTTGTGTTCACTAGGTATAGGAACAATTCCTAATTAACATACCAATACCAGAAAAACAGCTTAGCCTTCAGAACAGCAAAGATCCATTTCTTCATCTTTGCACCTCAGAGAGCCTACGCAAAAGGTGGCTCACACACCATAGATCTCCACTTCTAGGACCACCAAAAAAACTGTGAAAGGTCAGATCTCCTTGGGGGCTGACAACTCACCTCTCACCAACATGCCCCAACAGCCTCCCCAGGGCAAGAAAGCCAAGAAAAAGCAGAGCTGTTCCACAACTTCTGCTGGATCCTTACATCTGGGGTTTTCCCAGGGATCACTTTTACATTTTTACAGTGCTGTGTGGAAGACAGGTGAGATTTGGAGCAAATGTGTGAAAAATTCTAAGAGAGGGAGGACAGAGTCCTGGATTAAAAGGTTGGAGACTATCAGAGGGATAGTATTCTAGCAAGGAGCTACCGCAGCTGTCACACTTCCCACCAAGCCTTCTTGCTAGCATGAATCAAAAGTGGAAGTGTTAGAAATGGCAGCTGTGCTAATAAAACAGATTTACAGCACTGACATAAACTCATGTTTTACTATATTTGTACCCACGTGAGAGCAGTGTCCCACATCTTCAGGGAAGGGTTCCCACCCATTGCCTAGGATATGCAACTCCCAGATCCCCACAGCTTCAGCAGAAAGACCTGTGGGAGTGGGGAGCAGTGCCACAGGGAGCGGTGAGCAAAGAGCTCTTCGGAAGAGGGACTCTGCGGTCTTATTTTTCAAAAATGCTGAGAAATTTGAAATCTCACTAAAAATCTTGGCACTTTGAGCCTGATTAACATCACTAAAGCTGTTAAGGTTTTGACTATAACAATGAAAACATCTGCTATTCAACTCCAGATTTCAACTGAACTCAACTAAAAAGACACACGGAACTCAAGACTGGATCAAGTTCCTTGTGCTGCTCAAGTGACTTTTTACTCAGATTAGCAGACACTTTGGTCATCCTATTAACACTTAAATCATCAGCAGTATGTTCATTTACAATGCAAAATATGATCTTAGCAGGTAAAATTCTGCCTTTAATCCAAGTACGTGAAGACCGAAGCAAAACCAAAAACCTAGGGACCGATCCTGTCATCAACAGAAACACACCTAACTAAGAATGCACCCAGATGAGTACCACTATCTGAATCAGCCTGAACAGTTGAATCAGTCTGAACGGTCCTTTCAAAAAGTCATAAACTGGGAAAGAAGTCCTAATCAAGTACCTTCAGAAACTCAAACCCCCAAAACTCAGATGAGTTCGAAGTAGAATTTTAGGTTCACATTGTAAATTGGGTGTCCAAAATGCACCAGATGAACAACTTATTACTCCCTGCGACACAGGTCTCAGATGTAAGTCAGTACTGAAGGTGTGAAGTTCAGCAGCATTACACTCAACACAGCAATCTTTCTACAGATTCCAATGGGCCTTGAATCCAACAGAGTCCTCCTAAATTAGAAACTGCATTATTGCTGGATTAAACTACTTTTATTTGGGTCCAAATAAAAGTGCTTTAAAGCTGAATTATGAGCTATTACTAATAAACCATAGCTAAGTTTTTCTCCAATTTCAGAGACAGCACAGAGGAGAATCCCACATGAATGCCAATACACAAGTACTAAAGTGCAACATAAAAGAGAAAAAAGAGACCACAAAGCCTGCCATATATCTGCCAGAAACACACTGGTTTTCCTAAACAGCCCACTCGATTTAATTAAAAATTTTATCACTTTCACCATCTTTCATGAGAATGAGACCAACGATCCACCACTAAGCAACTGAAGTTCAAATGCCCATCTACTCTCTTTACTTTGTATTTAGTTTGCAGAACTGAAATGTAAGGGAAACCATTCAGGGGAAAAAAATTGCCAAGTAGACTGGCTAAATACACTCTATAAACTTCTGCCACATGCTCACATAGCAGAACTCAGAGTTGTTAAGAACACGACCCTTGTAGTTCAGCATATCTCAATACTCAACGTGGGTCCTAAAGATGCAGTTCTGTTCAGCTGCTCTATTCAAAGTACTGCAACAGCAGCAAACAGACTGTAAGCTTTCAGCTCCACTAAAATTAAAGATGTTGGGCTTTGGGGTTGGTTTGCTAGGTTTTTTTAAGACTTCACTAGTTAGATTTCATGTGCAGCTTAACTTGGGTAAATAAATTAATATTCATGAGCTATATGATCCAAACAGTCTCAAACTGTGCCTATCAAGACATCCATTAATTTCAGTGGGAGATGGCTTAGACTCACATAAAACTGGTCTAATCCTTTAACAATAAACACTTGCTTAAATAAGTACCTTAAAAAAGGTAATAATAATTATTACCATTATCTGGACCTAATTCAAACTGTTGGCATTGCCGCATATGTTGTTCCTCATGAACAACAAAAAGCACACTTAAGGACAGCAGGAGCAGGCCTCCAGGGCAGGGGGTGCAAAGGAACCCCCTTTAACTACTGCTGGCCAATATCTTCCCACGAGGTTTTCAACAACAGTTTCTCTCTGAAAACGTTTCTGTCTGTGCCACTGCTCCGCTTAGCAGATGTCACCTTACAGCCCAGACTGATTCTCTGCTTGGAGGAATCACACCCAAGGACTTCCCAGCCTCTTGTAGAAGATGGTATCCCTGCTCCACACTAACAGCTCTTGACTTAAGTACCGTCTGCAAGACCGACAATTTTTTCCACGTATCGCAGTGTCTGTTGGTGCATTCCTTTGTGCAGTTTTATAAGCATCCGCAGATTATTCTACAGCACACCTTAGATCTGGATAAAAAGATGCCTGGCTACAGCCACCTTCTGTCCGTACTCCACCGCAACCAAATCTGCCACCGTGGGAAGTTGCAGATGTGGGGGTTTTTTTGAAGACAACTATACTGTCCCCTTAAAAAGTCATGCTAAGAATAGCCAGTTCAAATAACCTGAGTCCTGTTGAACAGATCAGAAGCGAACCCAACCTTTCCGCTTTTGTACTCTGAATCACTCTTTTTGACAACTGAACTTGTAACCTCCCGTCTGACAGCTCAGCCACGCCGTGCCCAGGGCAGTTTCACAGGGATCAGCCCCACGCCGCCCCTTCCCAGCGCACCGAACCGAGACCTTGCTATAAATGACACCTGGAGCGCAGCCAGGGTGACGCGGAGGAGGGCACCGGCACTGAGCCCGTACCCGAGAGCCCCGGGACGCCGCGTCCCGCCGCCGGCGGCCGGTCCCCGTCTCCCACATCCCCGGCGGCTCCGCGGGAAGCGCAGGGACGCACCTGCGCCCGCCACTCCTCCCCGGGAGCGAGCGCGGGGTCAGAACCCGGCGGCTTCCATCCATCCATCCCACGCCTGCCGCCAAGCACCGCCCGACGGGAGCCGCCCGGTGGCCCCCGGCGGCGGCACCGAGAAGCCTCTGCCGCCGCGGCGAGGCCGGGCGGACGCCAGAAAGACGGCGGCGGGCGCAGCACCGCCCCATCTCATCCTATCCCAATCCCGGCCCCGCACGGCGCCACAGTCCCCGTTATCCCCGCAGCGCTGGCGGCGGAGGGCACACCAGCCCCCGCCGCCCGGGAGTTTTAAAGGGGCAGTGCGCCCCGCTGGGATGGGGGCGGCGGCGGCGTTCGTCCGGGGGTGCCCGGAGGGCGGGAGGGCCGGTCCCGTGCCCGGTGCCGGCGGTGGGGCGGGCGCGGAGGGAGGGGCGGGGGCTGGGTGTCTCCCGCTGCTGCTGCCGCTGCCGCCACAGCACTCGCCGCCTCCCCTCCCCCACGGCGGGGGCTCCTCGCCGCAGCCTCTGTGCTCCGCTCCCGGTCATGTGACCCGAACGTAACCGGACAGGAAAAGCCGCCGCCGCCGCCGCCGCCGCGCTGACTCCGTTGTTGCTGCTGCCGGGCGCGGAGACGGCGGCGGCCCCCGCGCGGCGCCACCCGGCGGCCCCGGCGCCCCCCAGGTGAGCGAGCACCGGCCACGCCGCGCCCGTCCCGGGGGGCCGCCCGGCCCCGCCGCCCGCACGTGCGCCCGGCTCCGCCGCGCCGGCCGCGGCCCGGGCTGAGGCGACGGCGGGGGCGCGGCAGGGCCTGCGCGGCCCTACCTCCGCATTGTGTGCGAGGGCCACCCCGGGCCCCCCCGGGTCTGCGCGGGCCGAGGGGGCGCGGGGCTGGAGGTGGGGCCGCCCTGGCGAACCCCCGCCGGGCCGGGCCGGGCCGGGCCGGGCGGCTCCATCCGGGACACGGCGCGGGGAGGGGGATGGGCGCGCGCCGAGGGGAGGGCCGGGCGTGGGGGGGGGCGGTCGGTGGGTCGCGGGGAAGGAGGGAGGGGGCGGCGGGGCTGGTGCCGCCCGGCGCGGGGCTCGGCTCGGCCGGTTGAGGCCCGCGCTCCCTCCCGCCCCCTCCGGCGGCGGCGGCGGCGGGATCCGGCGCAGGCGGGGCGGGGCTGCCCCGCCTGTCCCCCCCGCTCGGCGGGTTGGGATGGGATGGGCTGGGCCTGGCGGCGGCGGCGGCAGCGGCAGCTCTTCCCGTCTCGCGCGCCCTGGCGGCTCCGCTCGCGCTGCGTCTCGCGCGCCGTCTCCGTCCCGTCCGTGCGCGCGTGGCGTGCGCGGGGGGGGAGGGGGGAGGGCGGGCGGGGGGAAGAGGAGGAGGGGCGGGGCGGGGGGCGGGGCGCAGCCAGTGAGAGCGGCGCGCGCCCGCCTGGCCCTCTGCCGCGTCGGCCAATGGGAGGGCGCCGTGCGCTGCTGCCGCGGGGGCCGCGCGCAGCTCCCGGGAATGGAGAGGGCGCGCGCCGGGACACGCCCCCCGGCGGCGGGAGCGCCCCCGCGGCGTGCGCCCCTTCTCTGCCTCACGCCCCGCTGGCGCGCGCGCAGCCCGGTCCCGTCCCGTCCGGTCCCGGCCCGTGGCGGCGGGCGGGGCCGGCCCGGGGCCCATCGCGAGTCCCTGCCCGCCGCCCGCGGTGAGGGTGGAGGCGCCCGCTCCCGGCGGTGCTGCGCCGCTGTTAGCGGCCTGGGCCGGGCAGTGCCCTCTGCCGACGGAGCGGGAGCAGCGCTGCGGGCTCGGTGCTCCCGAGGATCGATGCCCGCCTGCGCCGGGCCGTGCCCGAGCTGTTCTCTGCCGGCCCGCCCGGCCGCCCCCGCCCCGGGCACTCCCTCGCCCTGCGCTGCTCCTTCGTCGCCGCTCCCAGCCTCTTCTCCCGCGGTGCGGTACCGGCGCTTTCCCGGCCTCATCCTGGCCTCGTGCCCACCCCTTTTCCCCGCGGGGTCTCCAAGATGAACACACGCTTCCCGAAAGGGTTCGCCCCGGCGTGGCTTTCCACGCTGAACGGATTAGGTAATTCCAAAACCGTGGCAGAACGGAGCCGGGCCGGGGAAGAACTGTCCAGGTTCCGGGGTACAAGAAATGTTTTGCGCGGTTGTTGGACCGGTCAGCACTAATACGGCCTTGCCGGTGTTAATCACCTTTATTTAGCTGAGGATAAAACTTTTATTTAGCTAAGGGTAGAACTCCTGAGTTCACACATACCTATAATGAACAAAGCGCTTTCCTCGCTCCTGTCGTCTGCCTTACGATTTTCTTAGAGTGTAATTCTTCTAGTGCTTTCAGTTACGGCACTTAAATATCATTCAGATACACTCAAAATGCAATGTTGTGCACGTGTGTCATTTCATGAAAAGATTAATTCAGACCTGTGATGAAGGGCATTGGCTTCAGCAGCCACAGTGACTGCTGTGTGGGTAAGGGTGAAACTACAAGCTAAACAAACTTAGAATGATAATAACTAGAAAGAATGCCTTTCTGACTTGGAAGCCCTCATGTCAATGGTTTGCTCTGCCTGACAAATTTTGCTGTCCAAGTACAAACTAGACTTAGCACTGATGAATTAGAAATACAGTACACATTAATAATCTAAATTAAAGCTAACAAAAAAAATCTAGTGTGATTTCTGTAACATCACAAAGTCTACAAGTGTGGGGCATCTTGCAGGATTAAGTAACACCAAACATGATTTTTGTTATTGCTGACAGTGAGTATTCCCTCTTGTGGAGAGAGGGAGACAATCTTCCATTTGTACAACAAAAATGTAATTATCCAAAAAGTTTAAGGAAAAGAATATGGACCTTAAGAGAGCTGCACTCTTTTTTTTTCTCTTAGCTGTAAGAACATAGTCAACTGTATTGTATATTGTATTTCTTTTTCTGCTTATGCCCTGACTCCAATGAGTTCTGATCTCGTGTGGATGCATAGGAATGCATTTGATCAGCCTGGTTATTGGTTTAAATATGAGGGCATTCTTCACTGTCCAGCAAGTAGAAATACCTGTTTCTTCAATGACCAAGCATACATGTGGAATACACTTTTGTTCTCTTTCCCAAAAAACCATGCTCTTACCAAGTACAAGCTACTTTTACTTAAAATTTCAATAGCTTCCTGTTAAGTTTGGAGGGGAAAATGCTCAAGACTTTTGATCCACTTCTGATTTCACCTCCTCTTTGTTTTCTGTTCTGTTCTGCTTCTTCATTTTTCTGGGCATAACATGGCCAGGAATTTTGTTGGCTTCTTTTGCTGTTTTACGTGTTTAAGTACAAATCTACGTGACTTCATACTTTCACTTTTTCTGCTCAAAGCTCTATTTATTTTGGTTAAGTTTGTATCCACTCGTTGATCTTACTAGCCCTATATTCATCCATCCAACCGTACGCAACTGTCCTAATGTGTTTTCCTGGCTATTTTTTTCCCCAAAGTTATTGATTTCTGCTTCCAAGGCTGAATTTGAATCCTTGAGAAAAAGTTTATAGCTCTTAGGTAGTTCTTTTTGGGCAGCCTCCAGCAGCTGGTACAAGGAAGTACCAGGGAGGGGGAGGGCTGTGGAAACCCTGGTTTAGGAGGGTTCAGGTCAGTGCCACATTTCACTGTTAGTTATTCCACCTTGTGCTGATGGTCAGTGATGGATGGAACTGCACCTCTCACCCCCTGAGTTTCTTGATTTGCTAGGCGGGCATGAGACACACAGACTGCTTAGAAAATGCTGTTGTAGCTGGTCTCAATAAATAAATAAAGACTTGTTGGGTAAAAAGGCCCTTCTGTATTGATAGTGCAGAGAGCTTGCTGATACCAAGAATGAATTGTTTGACTCTGGCAAGATTCAGATATTTATCTGATATTTCCCAGGAGAGGGCATAACCATCAGTTAAAAGTGTCTAACTTGTCTTTTATTGGGTTGTGCTCTTGTCTCTCCCACCCATTGAGATGAGGGTGACTGACATCAGTAAGGAAATTTATTTTTCCTACTTGAGCAGACAAGTGGCAACCAAAATGCTTTCTTTTTTCCACTGAATATAGTGTTTTTACTGTTTATTAATATATCTTCCTCTCCCTTAGCTATTTCTATTTCTGTATCCAAGCCCAACCCCATGCCTTTTCAGAACTTTTCATCTTGGCTCTTCTTTGCTCTTTAACCCTGGCAAATCACTTGCACCTTTGTGAATTGCATTGCCCATCGTGAAACAGCGATCATTGCCTACCTGTAAAATATCTCTTATACAGTAACTTGGGGTTAAGAGGTGTTACTAAAGCAAGGCATACAGATATTAGAGGAAAATATCTGTTAAGAGACAGCTACTGTTGCATCTGTGCATCTACTGCTAAGTTTTACATGAAAGTCGTTTTCTTTTCAGAGTGTAAAAAAATGGATTTGGCCAACCATGGACTTATTCTGCTGCAGCAACTAAATGCTCAGAGAGAGTTCGGTTTCCTGTGTGACTGCACTGTTGCCATTGGTGATGTCTACTTCAAGGCACACAAATCAGTCCTCGCTTCTTTCTCCAACTACTTCAAGATGTTGTTTGTTCATCAAACCAGGTAACTGCAAAAAGGTGCACTGTTTAAATATTGTTCAGTTAGCTGAGCTAAGGAAGTCTATCAACGTTTTGAAACCTGAAAACATTCTTTTTGCTTCTTGCTATGTCATAAGGAGTATGGAATCCAGTCTTATCTGCAAACTAGAACCTCACTTTAAAACAAATTAAAGTTGAACTGTGATTCATTAGCACTAACTTTATAATTTGACACAAGTTCTCTATCTCTAAAAAATCATAGGATTTCTAGAATTGAATACGTCAAGGATCCTGTTTCACTCCTGCACTTTCCTTCTCCCTTCTGCTCTGTCTTGACATTGTTCTTGACATTTCCATAACAGTATATACAACCCAATAAGGATTTACTAGAAGATTTTGAGAAATAAACTTAAAAAAGAGGTGTATGTACTTTATTTTTTTGCAGTTTATCAAAGTCAGTTATATAATAAGATACTACATAGTGGTGGAAAATAATGGGGTTTGTGTTACTTTCCTTTCTGTGTTTTGGTGTTGTTTTTTGGGGGGGGGGTGTTGTACCAGAGCCTTACATTGAGGACATTGAAAAGATAACCGAAGTGTAAGACTGTTTTAAAGGTTTTTCTTTTTTTTTTCCAAATATTTGAACTATCTCAAAACTTCTAGGACAGAAGTGCATTTGCACTTCTGAAACAGTACTGAAGGTAGATGTATCAGTCTTGATGCTCCATCAAGAGCACACAGTTATTTTTGGAAGACAACATTGCAAAGTTTATTTTTGAGTAATACATCTGAATTCAAAAGCAGTCACAGAGAAGGCTCGAGAAGGGTGCATCTCAAGAAATGGAAGAATTGGCTGTAATTTCCTCCTCGGCTTGGTAGCACACTGTGGTTAGAGCATTCAGACCACAGCACGCAGTCATGTCCATTTCTGGATTTCTGTGTTTTATTTAATGCTTGTTTTTAATACAAGAGCTACAAATACTTCTGAAAAATAATTAGAATCCCAGTTCCTCTCCTGTTAGCTAACTGACCTAACCTCAAGGTGTTCCCTATTTTCTTTCTTCTGTGAGCCATGCCTCACTTTCTGCATAGAGATACACCTTCCTCCAGAGGCATGGTGGGTGTTTCAGTCCCAGAGCATC